GTATGGTTGTGTAGATTTCCCTTGGTTCTATTTCCAAGCAAGAAGAGCTCATGTGAAAAATGAAGACTTTTGCTCTTGTGAGAAAAGTCCAACGCGGAGACATACGGCCCCCCCCTGCCAAGATAGGAAACGAAAATGACAAAGTTGACCTATATGTGAGGCTTTTCCCACATAGAAGAATATAGGAGGGTTATTTTGGGTATTTAAGAAATGAGGCACATTATTCTCTTTTTTAAAAGATTATATTGAAGTACTCGTATATATGAGTATTTCTTAATATATCTAACACTCTTAGATATTAAATACCTTTACCCTATTATGTACTAAATTTTTTGTTTAGGGGTATTTAGGTAATTAGTTAGGGACAAAATTGAAATTCTTAGATAAAAAGAATAACATTTATTGCGTGTAGTAAAAGATGTGTGATATCACCAATATAGAACAATGATAGCTTCTTAACCATTAATAAATGCCATTAGTTTGTCATTGAAATATCTATTCTACATCTCTTAATAACGAAAAATGTCCTTACAAAAAAATTTATATTACAAAATAAGGGTATGTGGGTATCCAAAAAAGTTGAGTATATTAAAAGAATACTCGTATATATGAGTACTCTAACATAACCCTTTTTTTAATTATTGTCAGACTTTGTAAATCACTCCTTTCTGATCCGGTTGTTCAATTGTGCATATGCATGTATACGAAGTGATTGAAAAATCAGAATCTATCCCTGATATGGTATGGAGACAGGACGGCCTACAACTCAAAAATTTATAACAAAACAAGATAGGGGAAATATTATCTGATGGATGCGGTTAGCATGCGGCCAAGCCCCCATATGTAGAAATGTAGACCCCTTAATAAATTTATTTTTTAAATAGAATTCGATCCTAAGTTTTGCTGATTGTATAATCTTTAACATGGAGATCATGAATATAAAAAAATAAATAAATTTTGAAAACTAAAAATAATAATTTTTTTTAGAAAACATTGGACCGTTAATTTCAATTGTTTTTTAGATAAACCACCTATTTGCATCCATCTTTAAGATGGATGCTTTATACCTCTAGACCACATATTCTCCAGGCCGAATGAAATAATTGTTATTATCTAATGGGTCAGGACTTCATATAGAATCATTATGAGGCAAAAGATTTAAATTAAGATAATAAGTTTTTTTTTTTCATTTCAATTGGATATCTCCTCATATAATATTAAAATACCCAAATTACCCTTATTTAAGGTTAGGATCTTTGAACATACAAGGATATTAAGAGGCTCCAACCATATGACGTGAGTGCTCCTAATTGCTCAGGTTGGGTCAAATTATTAAAATGTCCTTGCATGTTCATGATTCACAACTCTATACAATGGTTGTTTGCATGTTATTTGGAGAGGAACCCGAGGGAAATGATGATTAAAAATTAAAACTTCCGATATTAATTGGGATCTTTGGACCCTCCTAATGACGTTGTATGGGGTTTGACCCCTTAAATGATATTTGCTCATAAAATATAAAGAAAAATGAAGGGCATCAGCATGATTTTCAGGTTCCCAAAACTAAATCATCCACCTACAATACAACTTGGTTGATTCCAATTGTTTGATCAGCGTAAATGTGTTCTTGGATAAATTACATCTGAAAGTACATTTTATACTCGTAGAATATATTTTATGTGGATCTAAATGCATTCGCGCACACACCTAGGTACCTATTCATTGAAGTATGCATGTACAAAAAAAAAGTCCAAATACATAACATATTGCTATTTATCGTAAATAACTTTTAGGGAAAATATCATTAGAAGGGGATGAAAACCCTTAAAATATTATTAAACGGTCAAATTATCCCTACATACATTTGAGGGCATGTTTTTTCTCTTCCATTTCATTCACATACCTCTTTACACCCAAGTCGCCTTTGCCCAATATTCGAATGAACAACAATGAGGGGTGTTTATACATGAAAATTTTGGCCGAGGAAATGTGACATCCACTTTGTTTTCGCTGGCAAACTCGTTGATAAGTCGGTAGTTGGTAAGGGTTCAATTGAATTGTAAGTTGGGCAAAGGACCGGCCATCAGACCGCTCTCATACGGATTATTGGCAATGCCGGCTTGAAGGCGAGGAAACCCAAATCTGCTAGAATGTTTAGAAAATATTTTTCAATGAAAAAAATGGAGGTTTAGAAAAGGATTTGGAAATAAATCAGAAATAAAATGGGAATAAGGAAAGAAAACTAACCTCATGCCCCTAGGCACGGCACCCGGAGTCGGTGGCCAGTTTAGAATCGTACTTGGTACGCCGTATTTTCTCAATTTTCAAAGTCCGTCAAGTAGAAGTGATCAGTATCAGGTGGAATAGGGCACGAGAGTATTGGGAATATGATTTACGGATGTCCGGCATATATCTCTGGCTTAGGTTTTTCAAGATTCAAGGGCGGAGTGTCGAGTGGTCTATGAGGCTTGAGCTTCAGGGTTACAATTTTCATGGTTCTAGGTGTTAGAATTGCCTTCATATTTATTTATGAGGTATCTCGTGATCCTAAAGCCTATGGGATGACTTCAAGGTTCTTATGGTTCACGGTTCTTTGGCCTCTCTGAATTTCCTTAGACAAGGTTGGGGTGTCTGCAAAGGCATTTCAATAGTTTGACCTCATGAGGCTTTACTTGAGTGACGAAAATACCTCTTGTTCTGCACTACAAATAAAGGAACACGATATTATGTATTAGTAATATAGAGCAATTAAGGGTATTTTTATCATTTTATAGACACAAAGCATTTAAGTTTAGAATAATTAAAATACCCTTGGTTATTCCGCATTATAAATATTCAACAAAGCATTCTTTTTCTCTTTGAGGTAAATAAAAAAAGCATTCTTAATTTGTAATGCAGAACATCTAGAGGGTATTTTTATCATTTGGGTGAGGCCTTTTATTATTGAAATGCTCCTCATTGTTTCTCACTCCAAATACTGAATGAGGATAATTTGGGTATTTTTAAATAAATATTTTAAATAGGTATTTGGGTAAAATGACAAAAAAAAAAAAGAAGCCTGGAAAGCTAGTGGGGATAATTTGGCATTATGTCGAGGGTTTCATACCCTTTCATGATATTCTCCCGAAGTTTTTTAAGTGGCTGTGACGTTCGTTGGTTTGCAAGGCAAATGGCAAAGCATTGCATACAAAATAAGTTGATTATAGCCCGTTTGGCTAGCGTTTATGTCATGGATAATGCAAATTTATGCACCCAATAATTAGTCCTCAATGTGAGGCCAATCACAATGGAATATCGTCCCTTAGACGGTAATAATGGTTTTGGAGTTTATTTTTTATTTATTTTTGAATTTTTTGAATTTTTTGAATTAGTTAGTCGGTTTAAAAGCAATAAGTGGGAATGTAAGCTACAACATGCAATTGAAAAATCGATCGAAATTATGGGTGCTTTAAAAATCGAACTAGTGGGTTAAATAGGTCATTCACCGGACCAAAGCTGGATCCACTTACTTGACAAACCAACTTGGTTGACTAAATGAAATTTTTAAAAAGAGCAATAAAAAAACAAAGTTTTTATGGGCTTGAAATCTATTTTGGGTCAATTTAAATCTAAATTCACTCTAAAAATATAGTTCTTACACTCATCGAAGTATGGGGTTCAATTTTCTATGGTCATACGTATTATAGCAAATCTTCTTTTTTATTTCATTTTGTGAACACAAAGAGAGAACGAGAGAGGGTGGAGCACGCCCATAGTTAGGCCTTTTTGGTTCTTGCAATAGAGAATTAAACAAGATGCCAACTACCCTTACTAATTTATAAATTCTAAATAATTGTCAAAAACTCCACACCACTCCTTAATAATATCAAAAATTTCGGAAATTAATATATATATATTATTAGAAATAAACCTCAAAATTTTTAAAACCTCATTCATATTCTTTTTCACCATAGTTTGTATTTTTTTTATTTATGAAAATACCATTCACGACAGTCTTAGATCTGTGAAGGTATCACGGTCGACTCAAAGCCGTGATGGTCACATCCCCTGTAAACAATAACTCATGAATAGGATTCATGAACAATACCTATTGAGAGTATTTTTAGGACTACAAATTTTGGTAGAATGTACTAAATTTAGCCATCAAATTGGAGAATAAAAATTTAGAATGGAAAGGAAATTCACACCTTGGGATTTAATAAAGTCCATTTTTTGTACTATCATACCTGAAAATGAGTATTGTTTTTTTTTCCCTTTTGATATTGTTCATCTTCATCTAGTGATTTCAAGACAATTCCCAAAATTTAATGTCAAACAAAGAGTCCAATATGGATGTTTCACCTAAGAAAGCAAACATATATTATGAGTGCAGGCTGGAGCACCTTGTATGCTCGGAATGGAACCAGAAGAAGTCATGAAGTAACAAATCCGTAAAAATGTAAAGAGCACATATACTATGCTCCATCAGGAATTGAGTATATAGTTAAATTGTGAAGAGTAAAATACAATTGAGTATATACTCAATCAGTCATCAAGCACAATGCCTGTAGTCTAGACTCTATATGCTAATCATTCACACCTCAAGCCCATTGTAGATATTGGGTACGTTTATATAGAGCCGAGGCTCTAAACAATTAAAGTAGAGCCCACCTTCAAATAGTATCGAGAAATATGGTTTCAATACCGGAAATCTTTATGATAGCCTTAAAATATATTCCCATCTCTAATTATAAAATTTGAAGCTTTTAATAACAGTGTAGATCCTACATATTTATGAAAATTTGAAAATATTGAAAATTGACTGTACAAAAAATGCATCACAAAATACACTATTTCTAAAACTTGAAATCCATTTTTTTCTCATGTCCATATATATTGATGTCCAGATGAGCAATTTGAAGATAGTTGAGTATCAAAACAACCACTTGTAGTGAAATTTTTGAAGTGGGCTGTAATTTGATTGTTTCGAGCCTCAGCTCTATATTATCTTTTCATGTAGATATTTACCCTAAATCCGAAGGGCGGTTTCCTGCAACCACAAGGCATGAGTCCTGAAGCAAGCCACAAGCCGAGCCTAGCCGAGCCGAGCCGAGCCGAGCCATATTCTGTCCTAATGATCTAAGAAGAACGACAGAAAGGCCACCTATTTTACCCACCAAAAATAAATAGCCAACAAAAATAATTATCAATTTACCAATCATTCTCTCATCAACTCTCTTATTAGGAAGCCAAGAATAAAGTTAGAGAAAAGGAGAAAAATAATGGTAAGAGACGTCAGAGATAGGGGACCGGACACTAAACACCACCACACCCCACATGAGATGAGCTCACCGTCCCCTTCCCCTTCCATTTTTCCGGCCATTTTTTCCGTCCACTTACCCGGAAAACCCAAAATCTTCATTTTCTCCGTTACCATGATCCCAAGCTGTTTGCCATGATCTAGAGATTGATACCATGATCCAAGTAATGGACGAGACGCCACCATGGATCCATCTCCTAGCCCCACCTGCTGGAATTCAGCCCCCTTCGCCTGAATCTGGCGCCGGGACGAAGCGTCACCACCCCAATTTGCCGGAATCCTCCACCGGGAGACATGATGAAGATGCCGGAGAAGCGGAAACGAGCTTGTCCGAAAACAAGCGAAAGCAAAGGAAATCGGAAACTGGAAAAGAAGCACCAAACTATGCAATAGAAGATGAAGAATCTTCGGGACTAAGGCTCCTTGGGCTCTTGTTGCAGTGTGCGGAGGCGGTAGCCATGGACGATTTGGACCTTGCCTCCTGCCTCTTGCCCGAGATCACCCACTTAGCATCGCCGTTCGGCTCGCCCGCTGTGCGAGTGGCAGCCTACTTTGCAGATGCTTTGCAGGCGCGCCTCGTGAGCTCGTGGCTGGGTGTATATGCACCGGTGCCCTCGCACGCACTCGAGCGCTTCTCGCAGAGGCTCCTGCATGCGTTCCAAGCCTACAACGCAATTTCGCCATTGGTGAAGTTCTCTCACTTCACGGCGAACCAGGCTATCGTTCAGGCGGTGTCGCAGGCATCGAGAATTCATATTATCGACCTCGACATAATGCAAGGCCTGCAATGGCCGGGGCTTTTCCACCTCCTCTCTACGCGCTCCTCAAGCCCGCCGTCGGTCAGGATAACGGGGCTCGGCTCTTGCACGCGCACACTAGCAGCCACAGGTGATCGGCTTTCTGAATTTGCGGGGTCGCTTGGGCTGGCGTTCGAATACACAGGGCTAGCCTGTCGGGCAGGAGAAGTCGGGGACCTGGCACGGCTCAAGCTGCGGGCGGGAGAGACCGTCGTCGTGCACTGGCTCCACCACTGCCTGTACGATGTCACCGGCTCCGACGCAGGGCTATTGAAACTGCTCCATTCCACGAAGCCAAGGCTCATCACGATGGTCGAACAGGACTTCAACCATGGAGGCGGAGGTGGTTTCCTGGGCAGATTCGTTGAGGCATTGCATTACTACTCCGCCTTGTTCGACGCCCTGGGTTCGATGCAAGACAGCACGAATCAAGACAGGCACATTGTAGAGCAGCAGGTTTTGGGAAGAGAGATCAAGAACATCGTGGCGGTGGGAGGGCCGAAGAGGACCGGAGAGGTAGTGGTGGAGAGATGGCCGGCGGAATTGGGGAAATTGGGGTTCCGGGGAGTGTCGCTGGCAGGGAGCGCAGCCGATCAGGCCGGGCTTTTGCTGGGTATGTATCCATGGCAGGAAGGGTACACTCTGGTGGAGGAGGGCGGTTGTTTGAGGCTGGGGTGGAAGGATTTGCCTTTGCTCACGGCTTCAGCATGGGAGCCTTCTCTGAAGGATGCCCCTTTTTCTCCCTCTACTCTCACCGAAGCTACGTGAGAGTACAGTGGGGGTCTGAGAAATGCTTGTAACGTGTTTTTTCTTTCTTTTTTTTGTTATAAATCTTTCATTTTTTTTTGTTCTGGTCGATTTTGCTCTCTCTCTCTCTCTCTCTAGAACGAGGAAGTTTAGTTTTTAATGGATAGATTTCTGTTAGTTCTGAATAGGGTGATTAGTTTCAGGGATAATCCCTCTCTCTCTCTCTTTCTTAATTGGGAGATGAAGGGTCCCCTCTCTTCTCCCAATCTTTCTCTCTCTACTGTCTTTGAGTTTGTGTCTTTCTCTCACAAGATGGAAAGTCTGGTTTCCTCTCCCAGTACCCAGCTTTTGGGGGTCAACCTTTTTTTCTCTCTCTAGATTATGGGGGACAAATTTCTCTCTCTCTCCGAGATTGTAGATTCCATTGACATTGACATAGACGAGTAAAGGAAAGTATTGTTTTGCAAGGAAGAGGTTGAGGCTATTGTTTGTTGCTCAGATCGAAAGGAAGGGAGCAGAGATTAAAAGCACCTTTTAATGAGCAATGCTACAAACCAGTGCCATATTGTTGTATTTTCAATTTCTATATATAAAAACGAGGATTTAACTGGCCAGTGATACTTGAAAGGAAAATGTTTGTGCAAGGGTGAGCCCCCGAACAATCAAGTTGCACCTAAAAAATTCACTAAGAAGCCATTCTTTTGATGCTTAGAAATCCTCGAATCGGTGATCTCGATCTCAAATGGTATGGACCGTGAAGACAAAATAAATTTCAATTCTAAAAAATAGTATATCTTGTAATGTATTTTCTAAACGGTTGATTTTTAAGTGTTCATAGATACTATCGATCTACACTTGAAAATCATAATTAGGGTGGTGTTCATAGACCGTTGTGAAAATGCATAGTTACGGTGGTGTTCGGTCACATAACAATTCTCAAACACCACCCTAACTTTACGAATGGTTATGTAATCATTCAAGTTCAAGCAAATGTTATTCGGGTTTGAGACTCAATAGCCCACCCTCAACTACCCGATTTTACATTCAAATTTATAAGGCCATGCATCGGTTGTCTGGATACGAGGATCTCTATATTTTGTTTCGGGTTGGAGACTCGATAGCCAACCCTCAACTACTCGATTTTACATTCAAATTTATAAAGCCATGTATCGGTTGTTTGAAAAGGAGGATCTCTATATTTTGTTTCTTTCATAGATGATTTGTCAAAGAAAGAGTGGATTTAAGCATTAAAGAATAAGGTGGATGTGTTTAACACATTCACCCACTAAAAAATTGAAGTTGAAAAGGGAAGAAGATGAAGTGCTTGAAGATTGATAATAGCGGAAAGTACATTTTGTTGAAGCGTGTGAACTTCTGCAAAAACAAATGAATTATTTTTTATTACACCACTCCGAAGATACCGAACGGTTGTTGATTGAACGAACAAGATATTTCTAAAGAAGGCGTGTAGCAACTTAAGTAACTCTGGTTCGGCATATGCAATCCTTACAATGTGCTACCTCATCAACTGGTTGTAATCCTCGTATGCCCATATGATGTATGAACTAGTGAACATGCTGGTTATTGTTGGTTAAGAATTTTTGGTTGCCTTGCATATATCCGATGATAAATTCATTCCAAAATTGAAAAAGGGATTTTTCCTTTATTATGTAGATGAAATTAAAGGCTATAAATGATAGTGGGACCCTAAGTCTATCAAATTTATTACCAGTTGTGATGTTAAGTTTGATGAGTCTGCTGTGTTGATGTACATTCAGAAGGGTACGGAAAAAGACAATTTTGATAGCGATGAAGCCCTGGATAACACTCTAGCACATACTCTAAAAGATATTATATAAGATCATGTTGAGGCTAAGTTTGTCCCTGAGTCCACTCCATAAGAAAAATCCTCAGCTTAAAAGGAAAAAGAGAACCAAGAAGCTAATAGTACGATATGGTTTGAAAGCGTCTTAACTAATGCTTTGGCTAGCATAACCCAAAAAGCCAATCCATTTTTGATGAAGTTACAATGAATTTTAATAGTAATGGGTAGAATTATGCCATAAATGAGGAGAGGAAGTCTCTTCAAATGAATCACACCTAGGATATAATAAAGTTACCTATGGGCATGAGAGTCATTAGATCTAAATGAGTTTATATCAATTGAGTCTAGTGGTGATATATGCAAGGCACAGTTGGTTCCAAAAGGTATGCATAAAGGAAACGCGTTGATTATAATGAGATCTTCTCTCAAATTGTGAAATAAATATCTATTTGGGTATTATCAGTCATGCTTGGATTGTTTAATTTGGAATTAGAGCAGCTGGATGTCAATGTTATGTTCCTAAATGGAGAGTTAGAGGAACATATTTATATGACTCACCTTAAAGGATGTGTAGTCAAAGACAAAGAAAAACATATCTACAAGTTAAAGAAGTCATTATACAACAAGCAGATCCCTAGACAATGGTCCAAATTCTTTGATGCATAAATGATTAGAACCTATAATATCATAAATGATGATTCATTCATCTACTTGTTGCTTTATGTGATGATATGCTTAATGTTGTAAATATTTCTTTAGAGAATCAGGAAATTGAAGACTCAATTTGGTTGATAACTTGAAATAAAAGATTTAGATTCGACAAATAAAATTAGGGGTATGGGATAGATAAAGATAATTTTTTTGGCAAATTGCGGCTATCTTAGATTGTGTATATTGACAAGGTCCCCATCATTTCAGGTTGGAGAATCTAGATACTATGGGTACTCCTATTTTTGTACATTTCAAACCATTGTCAATCTCCAAGATGGTAAAAGAAACACTTCTTGCATTTTTTTTATGCGAGTGCATTGAAAACCGTAATCCAATGATTTGCACTTGTCCAAATAGTTCACATATGCAACTGCTATTAAAAAGTATATGGCTAAACTCGAAAAGAAGCAAATAGTATGTGGTGAAATGGATACTACATTACTTTAGGGCTACATAAGATGTGGGTTTGGAGTTTGACAATAGCAGCAAGATCGACGACAAGGTCATTAGTTAATTTAATGCTGACTTTAGAGGTGATTTGAACTGTAAAAGGTCTACTATAGGGCATGTGCTTACGCTTGCTGGAACTACGCCTAGTTTGAGATTGATCTTACAGCCCTTACTCATCTTGTCTAGGACTAAAACAGAAACATAGATGTTACCTAGTGAAAGAAGATTCGGGTCAATCATGCATGGATGAAGCACATTTATGTCAAATAATATGTTATTCATCAAATAATAACTTTGGGTGATTCTTATTGTTAAAGACCAACATAAAAAAGAATGTTACAAATATGTTAACAAAGTCGATTTTATTACAGAAGTTAAAGTTGTGCTTGGACTTGATAAATGTTGTTGTCAAAGTGAGTGGTGCATATGGAGGACATGGTCATATGGAATCTTTTTTGGGATTCAAACTAAGGAGGATAATTTCCTTTATTTTGGACTCCAAGCAATCTCATGTCAAATAGCTTTTGGATCAAGCTAAGGACCTCTGTATGTAGGATTGTTATGTAGAGAGAGAGTTTGCAGACAAACTCTAGGGTTTGTGCAATAGAGAGAGAGTTCATAAAGGTGAATGAAACTCCATGTGAAAGTGAGAGGCTGGGTGAAAGATTGAGAAGATATGTGTTTTCTTGTGCTATCGTTTGCTTCTTTTTTTTGACTCTTGAATGGTAGTAAATTGTTGATCATTTTATCCGTGAATGTCATCTATGAGTGCCACATATATTTCGTATTCCTTCCCGCTTTACTTTCTTACTTTGTACGGTTGCTTGTGCTTGTTGTTGGTTTATAATTGCTATTTTCTCGCTTTTTATTTGCCAAAACTCAACCTATTGGGATTTAGAACTTCGTAGAGTGATTACATATCAAATTTAGTATTTACTTTTCCCAATTTTATTTGATATTTCAAACTTCTGGCATTAATGGAAATTTCTTGAATTTAATTAACAAGAAAATCTAGGGAGGCTAATCCCTTCTTTATTTCAGTGCTGTTGATTTTATCACCCAAGAAAAGGCTGGCAATACAGACCCATTGATTCGACCTTTGACATTGTTTGGTGGATTATTGAAGGTGAGGGCCCAGGTGTGCTCCCAAAAATGAAATATTTTTCAACATAATTTACTGTACATGACTTCATCCCAAACCCAGTAAACACACGACGCAGTGTACACAGCCCCATGCGCCATACATGCTTGAAGATAGCCAACATAGATTCCTTAATAAAACAAAAAATATTGGATTATAATTTTAACCCACAAAGGAAAAAGGAAAAAGTTCATACAAGGCCGAGGCCAAATTAAGGCGAACATCAAAAATTCACTAGAAGGTTGTTTCGATGCACAAAAATTCTCAAATCAATCATATTGACTGCGAGATATATGGATATGAGAAAAAATACATTTTAAATCTTGGAATAAAAATACATTTTAAATCTTGGACTTAGTGCATCTTGTAATGTTTTTTTTTTACCGTCAATTTTCAAGATTTTCAAGTGTTCATAGATCTGCACCATCTACACTATTTTTAAAACTTCGAATTTTATAATTAGGGGTGAAAAGCCATCCTAAAGATTTTCAGTACTGAAACATCTTTCGAAACTATTTGAGGGTATGCCTTACTTTGATTGTTTAGAGCCTCAGCCTTACACAAATCACACCCTTTAACAAAGGGAAATGCTTTGATAGGGCTGCAGCCCTATGAAAATAACTAAATCCTCACTTCATGACTCATCGAAAATTGCAAGTCAAGCATTGGAAAACCTTTATATGGATCATCTCGACTTGAACATTATGGTTGTGGAAAAAAAAAAAGGTTTTCAAGCTCTAAAAATAGTGTATACTGTAGCAAATTATCTAGACCATCCATCTTGCTTTAAAAATAAGTATTCATAAATCCGCAAGATCTGTACTATTTTTTTAGTTTCAAATTTTATTTTTGGTGTTGAAAATTAATTTTAGAGCCATCGTAGAGATTTTCATCGTCGAAAGTACATTTTGGACTAGGATTTGAGGTGATGCTTTATTTTGTTTTCATAAAGCCTAGGCCTTATAGAATCCTCGTCCTTAACAAATGGCATGTGTAATGTTATTTAGTTTTTCAAATTATTTCTCCACTATCATTACAAGCTTTCATTTTTATAACATATTATAGTTGATTCTTTTTTCTTCTTTATAGAGGTTGTTTTTCTTGAGCAAGCACATTTCTTCTTTATAGAGGTTGTTTTTCTTGAGCAAGCACAAACAACTCTAGAATTCTTTTGGCAACAAGTTCACAAATACTTGTTTATCCATACCCAACTTGACAAAAAACTATTCAAATTTTTCATTTCAAAACTAATTGAAGGGCCTTCAACCTCCACTTAGAGAATCCTGAGTGCCAATAGAAATTGGTTCTAATTGGCTAAATATGCCGATGAAACCTACATTCAAAGAAATGGCAATCCTCAACAAAAGAGGGGAGTTTATTTCTTCTGTTAAAATTGGACACTTGGAAACTTGCTAAAGAAATCTAAAGCAAGGATTACACCCAATTAGAACCCAAAATTACTTCAAATTACATTTCAAGAAAAA